TCTGTAGTGACAGCACTTGATATCAAATCTGTAACGAATCGCAACATAGACACGTGGAAGACTTCCAGGCTGGAAGACAAGAATGCCGATATGGCCCGAGGCTTGGTTGAGGTGGAATTGCTGTGACCAAGGCAAGAACGAATCTGACTACAAGGGAATATTTCGGAGGGTTGCTCCGTGAAAACAGCCCGGGCCTCTAGGGGAAGGACACTAAAGGTCTTCTTGACACCTTTCCGCTCCATGACCTCTGATGAGCGAAGCAGCTTAGGTCCCCTCTGAGACCGACTGAAGAGACTGGGGACCCCAGGTGTGTACATCTCAACAGAACCAACTGTCGGAATATCAGAGTCAGGAACTGGGCCTGAGCACTGTGGCCAGAAAAAAAAAAAAGAGAGACGTCGTCAACCAAGGCAAATGGCAAAGTGTCCGTGGGCCTCACAAATGGCTGAAAATGCATTGGTGCATGAACGGGCATTTTCCCTCTCACCGCCCTTCTTGATAACCTATTCGGGGTTAGCGAGGGGTCAGATAAGAGAGTTAACCCCTCCGATAAGACATGAGTCGCCAGGGGGGTGGAACATAGTGACACCCAACCACGGCCAACCAATACACCCAACGAGAGCACAGGGCAGGTGGCAGCGAGGCAAGCACCCAGCATTTGCAGGGCAAGAAGGAGACACTTGGACAAGTCTTGGAGGGAAGGAGGGGAGGGAAGAGGGGTGGTTTCCGCAGTTTCTGATTTTTTTTTTCCTGTGGTGGGGCTACCCTTGCCGCTAGCGTCGCCGTCGCCGGGCCAGAAGTGACACGCCGGGCCACACACAGCGAGCACTGAGCACTCTCTGCTAATCTGTTTGGTGAAGGAAGGAGCGAGAAAATAAAAAAGTTTTTGGTGGGCGGGCGGCGGGACGAAGGGGAAATACTGCGTAAGGCGCTGAACATTTTTGACCAGGCACCAAATGGAGGGGGGAGGCACTGGAGGGGGAGGGGGGGCAAAGAAGAGCGATAACACAAGCCAGGCTCTGAATTTTGGCGCTAGACATTAAAAACTCCCAGCCCGCCGCCCTCATCCTTTTTCACAATCTTTTTTTTACTCCTCTTCCTCCTCTCGAACCTCTTCCTCTCTCAGCCTCCCGTTCCCTTTCTTCTCTCCTCCTGGTTATCCGTCTTCCTCCAGACGCATATCCACTCAATCATTTGATTTTCTTTCCACGTCCTGTCTGCGACGGTTTATCAAGTGCGAATCTCGCCCTGATCGACCCCGCCTTCGCAAGAAGTTCAGAGACTACCTCCGAAGCGCTATTTAGAGCAGAAGAACTACGATCCTCCAGTCGTTTGTCTCTTCTCGCGGGCCTTCCAACCTCCCAAAAATCAACAAATCGGTTTCTCAGTCGTCCTTTTCGGTCACGATAGAGTATAGACTTCGCATCTAGACGCTTTAGACGTTCAAGAATCGCGAGTTTTCCTCCCCCCACGAATATCTCAACAAACACCCTCCCGATCAACATAATACCAACCGTCATAATGTCTTCCGAGAACGCCCAGTCCGTCAAGGTCCTGGATGAGCTCTTCCAGAAGCTCACCGTCTCCAAGGAGGCTGCCGACATCAAGGAGTCCTCCAGCTCCCTGGCTTCCTTCATGAACGGCCGCATTGAGGATCAGGATGTTCCTACGAAGTAAGTTTACACTGCACAATCTCCATTGCTCACACACCGCAAAACTCCTTCTGGGGGGTGAGATTTCGCCTCAAGCGACCGTGTCCACGGCCTTGGGAATTTCTCCAAAATTTCAGATTTTTTTGCTTTTCCCCTCGCCTCTTCGGGCGCGTTTTGCACCGACCCGCTGCGACGCTGAGCGACCAGCCACGCTGGCCACTCAGCGGCGAGTTATTTTCGGTTCACACACATTTTTTTTTTCTGGAGCATCAGCGCTGACTAGGATTTTCCCCGCAGGACCATCGAGTCTATCCGCAAGCTGTTCAACAACAAGAAGGATGCTGCTGCCCGCGAGAAGGCCGCTGTCGCCATCACCGCTATTGCTCAGCACTCCGAGGTCTCCGCCCACGTCGAGCCCCTCCTCGTCGCCCTTCTCCCCGATGTCCTTGCCGCCGCTGGTGACAAGATCACCGGTGTGAAGAATGCCGCCACCGCTGCTGCTCTTGCCATCGCTGAGGCCATCAACCCCAACGCTGTCAAGGGTGTCTTCGCCCCCGTCAAGAAGTCCCTTCTTGAGGCCCAGAAGTGGCAGGAGAAGATGGCTGCTCTCGATATCCTCGAGACTGTCATCCGCACTGCCCCCGCCCAGGTCGGCTACCGCGTTCCCGACTTGATCCCCGTCATCTCCGAGTCCATGTGGGACACCAAGAAGGAGGTCAAGGAGCGTGCCTACAAGACCATGGAGGCTCTCTGCCAGCTCATTGTCAACCGTGATATCGAGCGTTTCATCCCCGAGCTTATCAAGTGTATCGCCAAGCCTGAGAACGTCCCCGAGACCGTTCACTTGCTCGGTGCCACCACCTTCGTCACTGAGGTCCAGGAGCCCACTCTTGCCCTCATGGTTCCCCTTCTTGACCGTGGTCTCGCCGAGCGTGAGACTGCCATCAAGCGTAAGGCCGCCGTCATTGTCGACAACATGTGCAAGCTCGTCGACGACCCCAACATTGTCGCTCCCTTCTTGCCCAAGATGATGCCTGGTCTCCAGAAGAACTACGACAACTTGGCCGACCCCGAGGCCCGTGAGAAGACCAAGCAGGCTCTCGACACTATCATCCGCGTCGGTAACGTCGTTGACGGCAAGATCCCCGAGGTCCGTCACGACTCCGACTTGGAGGTTGTCCTCCCCAAGCTCAAGGAGTCTATCCCCTCCAAGTCCAAGGCCAAGGCCGATAAGCTCGACGTTGTCCTCCAGTACGCCTCCAACATCGCCGGTCAGCTCATCGACGAGAAGGAATTGGAGTCCGCCGTCTGGACTGAGGCCCTCAAGCCCTACATCTCCGTCATCGTTGGTGACGAGGATGCCCAGAAGGTTGTCGATGACTTCCGCAAGCGCGCATCCCCCGGTGCCGCCGAGGCGGACGAGGTCGACCCTGATGATGAGGAGGGTGAGGACCTTTGCAACTGCACCTTCTCCCTTGCCTACGGTGCCAAGATTCTTCTCAACCAGACTCACCTCCGTCTCAAGCGTGGCCAGCGCTACGGTCTTTGCGGTCCCAACGGTTCCGGAAAGTCTACTCTCATGCGTGCCATCAACAACGAGCAGGTCGAGGGTTTCCCCAAGCAGTCCGAGGTCAAGACCGTGTTCGTCGAGCACGACCTGGACTCTGCTGACACTGAGATGACCACCATCGAGTGGACCATGAAGAAGCTTGCCGATGCCGGTGTCACCACATCCCAGGCTGATGTCGAGTCCAAGCTCAATGAGTTCGGCTTCACCGAGACCATGGTTAAGGGTGAGATCTCTGCCCTGTCTGGTGGTTGGAAAATGAAGTTGGCCCTGTGCCGTGCCGTCTTCGAGGCTCCCGATATTCTGCTTCTCGACGAGCCTACCAACCACTTGGACGTGAAGAACGTCAAGTGGCTCGAAGACTACCTCATGAACTCCCCCTGCACTTCCATCATCGTCTCCCACGACTCCGGCTTCCTGGACAACGTCTGCCAGCACATCGTCCACTACGAGCGCTTCAAGCTTAAGCGTTACCGTGGTAACCTCAAGGAGTTCGTCAAGAAGAACCCTGCTGCCAAGTCCTACTACGAGCTCTCCGACTCCGAGATGGAGTTCTCCTTCCCCGAGCCCGGTTTCCTCGAGGGTGTCAAGACCAAGGCCAAGGCCATTCTGCGTGCCAGCAGGATGTCCTTCCAGTACCCCGGTACCACCAAGCCCCAGATCTCCGACATCTCCTTCCAGTGCTCCCTTGGCTCCCGTATCGCTGTCATTGGTCCCAACGGTGCCGGAAAGTCCACCCTTATCAACGTCCTTACTGGTGAACTTATCCCCACCATTGGTGAGATCTACCAGCACGAGAACATCCGTATCGCCTACATCAAGCAGCACGCTTTCGCTCACATCGATAACCACTTGGACAGCACCCCCTCAGAGTACATCCAGTGGCGTTTCCAGACTGGTGAGGATCGCGAGACCATGGATCGCGCCAACAAGATCATCACCGACGCTGATGAGGAGGCCATGAACAAGATCTTCAAGATCGAGGGTACCCAGCGCCGCATCATCGGCATCAACTCCCGCAGAAAGTTCAAGAACTCCTACGAGTACGAGTGCTCTTTCGCCATTGGTGACAACGTCGGCCTCAAGAACGAGCGCTGGACTCCCATGATGTCCGCCGACAACGTATGGTTGCCCCGTAACGAGCTTCTGGCTTCTCACCAGAAAATGGTTGCCGATGTCGATATGAAGGAGGCCCTCGCCTCCGGTCAGTTCCGCCCTCTGGTCCGTAAGGAGATTGAGTCTCACTGCGCCAACTTCGGTCTCGATGCTGAGCTTGTTTCTCACTCTCGCATGCGTGGTCTGTCCGGTGGTCAGCGTGTCAAGGTCGTCCTTGCTGCCTGCTCTTGGCAACGCCCCCACTTGATCGTCCTTGACGAGCCTACCAACTACCTCGACCGCGACTCTCTCGGTGCCCTGTCCAAGGCCCTGAAGAAGTTCGAGGGTGGTGTCATCATCATTACCCACTCTGCTGAGTTCACCAAGAACATCACTGAGGAGGTCTGGGCCGTCGTTGACGGCAAGATGACTCCTTCCGGTCACAACTGGGTTCAGGGCCAGGGCTCTGGTCCCCGTCTCAAGGGTGACGACGCTGAGGAGGAGGAGAAGTTCGACGCCATGGGCAACAAGATCGTCAGCACCAAGAAGAAGGTCAAGTTGTCGTCTTCCGAGCTCCGCAAGAAGAAGAAGGGTAAGTCTAATCCATCCATTATTTAATACTACGTACAAAATACTAACTCCCTGCTTTAGACCGTATGGCCCGCCGCAAGCGTGGTGAGGAGGTTTTCTCCGACGAGGACGACTTGTAAATCAGTCGCCACGAGATCGCTTTCCTTTCCATTTGTCACGAGCCTTACAAAAGTCTTTTTTCGGTAACGCGGGTTGCATGGTTACGGGCCTGTTTATGATTTCTTTGACGAGCACCCATGAGATTCCCCTTGAAATGAAATCGCCGGATGAAGGAATGACCCATCTCGCTGCGGGATTGGAGGATCCCGCGCGCGAGTGAGAGAGGTTCCTGGCGACAGGGAATGAGGGGGTAAGAATAAGAGAGTAGAAAGAGTAAATAGACGGCAATACAAGCCATAGACACTTCAAGATGTTTCCCTGATGTATGTAATGTGATGACTTCTGTGAGATTGGAACAGAACCGATGACTGGTTATTGGCCTTGTTCTACGTTTACGGTATCGAAGCTCAAGACGCAGCACCTGCCCTGGCCGACTTCTGAGGTTGGTTGACGCTTTCGTCATTTCCAGATCCTACCTTTGTGTTAGTAAAGTAGCCGCCATGACATTGTACTCGAGTGGCAAGGATATATTCAAGCACCTCGGGACAGTCGCTTGTGTGGTTGGTGCCGATCACGTCTTTGTTCTCACTCCCCTGAATGTGAGCCTCCCTTCCAATATTCTTTGCAGTGACGCTCAGACGCAAATATTGTAGCTATTGATCATTCATTGTAGGCTTCTTTGTGTCCATTCGATGCAGGTTTCCTCGGGTCGATGTTCTTACATCGAGTCTCGCCGAGGAAAGCTGAGCCCCAGATGCTCCTCATATTCGAGGTAGGCTGCTCCTTTGGAAAGATCTTTCGAGGGATGAAGCTTAAAACGGTCTCGTTTGTTTCAGAGTCAAAGGACAACACCGGATCTCTATGGATACATTGTCTGAAGTTCAAGAAGTTGCCGAAGACTACTATTCCTGTCTCGCTTGTTTCCGAGGTCAACTCTAAGTCTTCGAGAAGACAACGTCAAAGACACCCAAATGGCTTGTTCTCCCATCAGTTATGGCCCTCGGCCGCTACAACTCTTGTCATTTCGTTCTACTCATTTTTTCAATTTTCTAATAGGATACCAAACTGTCTTTCTCTCGTTACCCGCGTCGCCCCGTCAAGGCAACTTGAACCCACCAGCAACAACACCATCACAGCGAGGCCACCACCATGGCCTCCTCCCCAGACAAGGACCTCACGCACGAAACCGTCTACGACGAAGACTGGTGGGTGAATAACTCCCGCGAGCACCCAGACAGCCCGATCGTGCTCCCACCCCTCTCGCCACCGGCACACCCAACCTCTGGCGACTCAAACTCCTCCAACCACACAAACACATCCAACATCACCATCCCCGCCACCGCAATCCACACCCACGACACCACAGCCGCAGACATCTCAGCCCTCCGACCGCCGGGAAACCCTCACGCGCCGCTACTCCTCCCGCCACCCGTGAAGCAGAAAAATAAAGGACAATGGGCTTACGTGGAGTATATCCCCGCCTGGACGGATCCGCTCTGGCAAGACAAGGATTCGCGGGTTCAGGATAAAGATAACCCGAGTCATATCCTTCGAAGGCGGGACTGGATGAAGAGTGTTAGACCTGCGCAGCTTCCGCAGGATAGGCCGCAGAATCCGAGTGCGTTTGCCTTGCGGTACGGGGTGTATCCTGATAGACTTGACGGCAGGTCGAGGTTGACGCCTACGAGGGGCGCGTTTCGGAGTTTCAAGTATGATGGGGTTGTGGTTCCTAACATGAACGCGGAGGTTGTTATTGCGCAGGCGGAGAATTATGCTGCAACGGTTGGGTTGGCGGGTGTGGATGGGTTGTTGGAGGTGTATTCGGATTTGAGGGGGGGCGGGGGCAACGAGAGGGAGAGCATTCTGGTGAGGGCGTTAGAGGGGATGAGGGATGATGAGGATTGGCAGATGATGATGTTTCAGGGGATGACTACGCATGAGGTATGTTGATGTTGCTGTCCTAAGGTTGATGATGATGGAGGGTGCTGATGAAAGGGGTAGTTATTGGAGCAGGGGATGATGTCGATGAAGAGTGGGAATGACTGTGATTTACAGAATGATCTTCATCAGTAAGTCCAGGACTAGTTTTCCTTCTCTTTCTGGTTTCTATTGGCTGACTTGTTCGGGTGGATGAAGATATCTCACGAGAGACAAGTGGGTTGAAAGTCTATGGCGAGGATCTGATGCCAAACATCCAAGGCTCATCTATCAATCCGGCAACGTCAAAGGAGAATGGGACCCCAAAGTGAGAACAAAACCTCTTCCTTCAGCCACACTCCAATGAGAAGATCACGTATCATCCAAGAGCTAACAGACATCAAGACAAACGACTACCTCTGGGGAAAAATGCAACCCGCCCTCCTCCTAGCCTCCCGCATCCTAGACCACCTCGAAACAACCGACCCCTTCTGGCGCCGCCTCCACGACCCCCTCAACCGCCGCACCATCGGCGAACCCCGCGACTATCGCACCCCCGAGATGCGCAAAAAGAATCCCGCCGTCCAATTCACCCTCCACGACTACGACGATGCCGGGAAAAACGCCATCGTGGACGAACAGACGCGGAAACAACTGTTCGACGTGAAATTCGAGGTTCTCAAGCTCCTGAACCACAGTCTGCGGTTCATGCTGTGTAGCGGACAAAAAGACGGAGGAGATACCACGACTGCGGGCTCGACGTGTGTTTCGGGTGCGAATATCGATATATATATTGCTGCGGATGCGTTTTGGCCGCTTGTTGTACCTGGGTATAGTGAGGACGAGAGGTTGTTGCAGAGTTTCTTTTTGGCTTCTACTATTGTTCATGAGATTGCTGTGAGTTTCTTTTTTCCTTTTCCAATCTTGCCGCTCTATCAAGTGGTTACTCTTGATTTCTAGATGGATGTTGGACTAATCACTGACGTCTGGTGGTTTGGGGACATAGCATGCGGTCAACTATGCGCACCATCTGGTTCTCAAGCCGCCAGCCGGCATCCGTATCACGGCCTGGGTCGATTCGCCGGACAAGGTGAAGAAGGCTAGAGAGATTGGGGAGCAGATGTTTCCCAAGATTACGGAGAACAATTGTGAGCCGTTTTTTGAGGATGAGCCGCAGGCTGAGCTGGGGTTTTGTACTGAGAACAGGGTGAGTTGGCTCTCTATATCTCTACGAGCCATGTTAACACACAAACCCCAACTATCAGCTCTTTGGAGGCATCCACTGGAATCTCATATCCACCGATATGAGCCAACTCTTCTTCCTGCCTGCGGCCTTGGCAATGGAAAGGTGGCCGAGGCCGAAAGGCGAAGACGGCCATCTTACTCTCGAACAACTCCAGAAAAATCCGGAAAACCTAACCTTAGACCACACGCCGATGCTTCCAGACCAGTACCTCGTTCCTACCAGAATCGCTCATATCGCCTGTCTCTTTACCGAGGCCTTCTGGGGCACCGAGGTGTCCAAGTACGGCCCTGCGTCGCTGCGCTTCGGCGGCTTGGACCCGGTCACGCTCCCCATCATCCGGCCACGCGTCCAGCTGGGCGCCGCGCTTAGAGGCGTGCTGGCGCCGAGGGGCGATCGAGCTCTAGAGCTGCTCCCGAGAGAGAGCTCCGACGAGATGGCTGACGCCGGCCCGATGCTGGCGCAGTTTTTGATGCAGGCCGCTACTGAGTTTCTGAGGCCGCATGTGGCGCGGTACCGGTGGACAAGAGACCATAAACACTTTTTGGGCTCGCGGTGCAAAGAGGCGTATAAACTCGTGTTTCAGTTGGTGATTATCATGAACGAGACCGGTACGGCGTTCGATTTGCGGCGAATTACAGAGGAATTTGAGAATGGGAGAAGAAACCAGACGAGTATGGACGCGTGGAAGAAATCTCAACGTCGACGGTGGGGAAAGTGCCTTGACAAGTGGTTAGAAGAATCTCGAGAGAAACTGGGTGGCAGATCATGTTCTTTGCCATACGACTCGGTCCACCCGCACAACGAGAACGAGTTCTGGAAGAGCATCCACAGCCACGGGTGGAAAGCAGGGCAGCGGATGGCGGAAGTGCTTCGGCGAATATATGAAATGATCCTCTTCGAGATCGGCTGCTTCCACCAAATGTTTATCGACATTTACAACCTCGATGAGGCAGAGCTGGAAGCGTTCGAGAGGGAACAAGCGGCCCAGGATCTGCCCTTTCGCCGCCAAACCACACTAAATTTGACCACAGAAGCATTGTCGAAGACTACGGAAGTTGTGACAGAATATAGCAGGAACGGGTTCATCCCCGTCGCGAATCTTGCGGTTATACACGACTTTATGACGAAATTCACCAATATGAGGGCGCAGCTTGAGGAACTGAAGCCGTGGACGAATGATATTTCAAAGATCAAGCCTGCCAACTTTAACCTTCTGCAGCCGTTCGTCCCGAGGCTCAAGACTGCACGGCGGCCGGCGACGTCCCGGATGGTCAAGGTTGCGCAAAAGGAGCTTGGCATGGTTCCAGTGGAGACGGTGGTGGTCATTGAGAAGTTCTTGAGCTTTGTGAAGACGACGGTGAAAGCCGCAGGCGATGTCAGGATTGGATTGGAAAGGGATGGGGCGATGGATCTGGACGAGGTGATCACCGAGTTTGAGAAGACCGATAAGTTTGGCCAACCTCGCGTGGTGGAGGATGTAACCGACGAGGAGGACTACGAAGACGGTCTCGACAACAATGATCCGCTTACTGAGATTATCAGGAAGAGGAAGCCCAAGGACCCCTGGAATGGAGCGAAGCATCCTCCCAAACGACCCAGGATCGCGACACCGCAGCTTGTTCCCCAGCCTCTGGCACATCCCACACCCTTTTCAAAGTACTCCCCGCCGAAGCACAGGTTCGGAAACACCACCAAGGCCAGCCGCTTCCACAGAGCCAGCTTAATCAACGCCGTTCCAGACCCGAAGTCCAAGATCCCAAATGTATTCGCCAACATCCCAGATGTAACTTTCCCTCTATCACAATCCCCTTCCGGGTTCACTGGGTACGGCCCGGGCCAGCAGCCGCCGCCGAAACTCCCTACTCATGCTTCCGTATTCGGCGGTAAGCCCGCCCAAATCGCAGAGGGTCCCGAGCCGATGGGCATGTTTCCACACCCGTTCGCATTGTCTGCGACCTTCACAGAGGATCTCGAGCATGAGGCCAGGGCCCGCCTTATGCTCGCGCACCAGAGTCCCGCGAATTCTGCGCTGGGATTCAGGGAAAGGCAAGGGGCAACGGCGGCAAATGCGTATCGTGATCCTGCACTAGCAATGCCGGACTCGCCCGAAAAGGATGCCAGAAGAAACAGCGGCACTTCAGGGTTTGGAGTCGGTGGGGATCGACGAAGACGAATCCCGGATCCGCAGGATTGGTCCCCGCACACGGAGGGTTTGGAAAGCTTGTCAAGCTATCCGGACCCGGATGCCGGAAATGTGGGCAAGGGGAAGAACACGGCGGGGCGAGCCTCGCCGGCGCCCTCCGAGGACGAGGATGAGGATGGGGGGTCGCACTTCGGGCTATGTGACCCAAACAAATTCAGCGCCGTCAATTTGCAGCGAGAACGGTTCTTGAGGCAGCAGGCGATGGAGTACATTACAGAGCAGCAGCGGCAGCGGCGGGATTGGTTGAACAGTCTAGCGACACCGGCGGTACCGGCCGGTATGTTGGGGACGGGTATGAGGCCTGCTCTTGGCGCAGGGCCTTCAGGAGGAGCGAGTACGAGTGTTGGCGGGCCGAGTGGAGGGAGCCCGGGGCCATCTTCGGCTTCGAATCGGCAGCAAGGGAGATACTTGCCGGGTGGTATGGACTAGGTGCCAGGTTGATGATCGGTTCTTCGTTCAAGTCCAGCCTTTTGGGAGACGGGAATCTGGTATTGTTTGCCGGATAAGCTAAGTTAGGAAGAGGGAAGCTGGACATCGCAGTCCGGCTTAGATGGAGGAGTCAAGGAGTCGCGGTGGAGGCTTCATGATGTTTCTTGTTGTGCAACGGCCTGGTTCTATTTAGATTACTTGGTAGGCATATCTGAACGGGACTATTGCTTGAGTAAGATTTCTTGTTTGACGGAGTGATGATGTACGCTTATGCCTTCTTCATCGCTAAAAGCTGAACCATCTCGCTCTGCATGGGCTCATCTCAATAGACAAAGGTGCCAGCGGCTACTTGATCACTTCCTTCCTCCCCTGTATAAATTCCATGTACCAATTGCACACAAAACAATCACTTTCACCTTCAAATCGCATCAATATCAATCTCCGGAGCCTCCCTCCTCCTAAACAACAATTTGGCCGTACTATCCGAATTCCACGCAAACCCCCACTCCTGCCACTGATGCTCATATCCAGGCGTCAACTTCCAGTCAAACTTCATCAGCAAATGCGCCAGCGCAATCTTGAGCTCGTTTCCGGCAAAAAATCGGCCCGGGCACGCGTGCTGGCCGTGGCCGAAGCCGAGGTGCGAGGGCGATGTGCTGACGAGGTGGGCCTGGCTGTCGAGCTTCGGGTCGCCGCGCATGTCGAGGAAGCGGTAGCCGTTGAAGGCTTCGGGGTTCGGGTAGATGGAGGGGTCGTGCATCTTGCCCAGGTCGCCGACGCAGCGCTCTCCTTTTTGGAGTTTGAGGCCGTTTGGGAGGGTGACTTGACGGGTTGCCATACGGGCCATGATTGCTGGTTGATGTTGTGAGCAAAAGAGCTCTCAAGAATAACTTTATATCGTCATGGAAGGGAATAGGAGAGGGGAAGCTTACCAGATGTAACTGGCTTCAGACGTTGCGACTCTTTCAGAACGCTGTCCATGAGTTTCATGTTGGATAGGGCCGTCTTCTTCCAACCTTCAGCGGTAAGAACTTCAACGATCTCCTTCCTCAAGGCGTCAAAAAGTTCTGGGTGCTCCGCAATACGCAGCATAGTCTCGACGAGTAGATCTGTAGTTGTGTGGATTGCAACGACCGACAAGCCCAGTTGCGCGCCAACGACATCATACTCTCGCCCTTGACTCTCTTCTTCAAACCAATCAATGCCATCATTGAATTTCGGCGCCGGCTCGCCCCTCTCCCGAGCCCGCTGGCGTAGGTCTCTGCGTTTTTGAAGTACCGGCTCAATGATTTCTCGTGAATCGGTAACCTGCCGCCTGAGAGTCTTGCATTCAGGTAGGAACAAGTTCGCAGCATAGCGAAGCCAGTACGGGTATGGCCGCAGGGTCTCAGCACCGAGGAAGGCGTTGACGGTGTAAGACTTTGTTATGGCGAGCCAGGCTTCGTCGCGGCATACCTCGTCGCCGAGAAAGACTCTAGAGGAGAGGCGGCAGATGAGATCGAGGATGGTGTCTTTGGTGTTGTACTCATGCCAATCTGAGCCGGGCGTGAGTAGGCGATGTGATGCAGGGTCACTGCTATGGGCGTGTGAAGGAACTTACCGGTTGGCTTTCCGAAGATGTAATCAACCGCGAACCTAGTTTCTGACGCAAGAGGCTCCGTGATTTGGTCTTTGTCAATATGTAAGCTAAGTATCGTGATGGTGTGTTGGTGTAACGTGGGGTCTCAATGTGGGGTGTGGGGTAAGAAAAGGGCAAGTTCGTGATTGAGAGAAAGCTTACTGAGCAGTTTGGTGATACGCTTCTTGATGACGAGCTGGAAAAGTCCGTCAGGTCTGTTGCCGACCGCAAACCCTTCAAATCCGTTCAGTTGAGGGTGGAAGTTATCTGCAAAAGCCTTTAAGAAGCTCAACCCCGGTTCGTTGCGAATATCGTGAACGAGATCCGGCGGGATGACGACGGTCTCGCCAACATCCGTCATGAGTCTGTAAGGCTGGCCGGGATATCGAGTTCGGGCGTCTTCCATGATACGACGAGCATTCATCAAGAATCCCTTCTTCCGTTCTTGGTTGAACAAATCAAAGATTCGCCCCGGATTGACAGAGGGGAGTTTGCGAGAAGGCTTGAGAATGTGGGGTATTATCGTGAAGACGCTGATCAGAATGATGCCGAGACACAGTGATGTCCATAAATCCAGTTTGCGGATGAGAGATGAGTCGTCGGCCCATGAGCTAAGGAAGTGTTTGGGAGGTGTTATGGCCTCCATCTTGACAGTTGGTTGTGGGATAAGTATGAAGCAAGAGTTGATAGACCACGCTTGGAGATGATCAAAAGTGTAAGTGCGCCTACAATCAACTTATATACTACCCCCAGCTTCAGAGAGGGTAACTCAGCGGTGAGCCTAGACTAATCGCTCGTTTCGAGAATACACGAGATATTTCGCATTACAAGTCAAGAATTACTCCAAACACCTCCACGTTGACGTTGTTTCTAGCATATCACGGTGCTAAATTGCTGCCCGCCGGCAACACTCCCGTCGTTGCAACTCTGCGCGGCCCGCCGTCACCCCTGCCCACAGCCGTCTCAAACGAATCAGCGGCGCTTACAACTGGGGACCGCGTCTCTTAGGTTCCGAGTCATGCAGATCATGTTGCAAGCTTCGGAAGCAGACAAGTGCCCGACGGCGGGATGGGTGGATCTCTGAAATCTGGGATAGTTTTTGATGCCCCCGGGGAACCACCCTCGAAAGCGAAGACCATCCTCATAAAATTCTTCCCAGTTTTCAGCTCTGTTTGTGCTAGGTCTTGCTTCTTGTCACGACTCCCCGCTCAACAAGTATGTCTCCACTTCCATCACGCAAACTCTTTCCTGTCCCAACTCCGACGATGCGGGGGTTAGCCTGGTGTTTTGACGCGACACGGACTGTGATGGATTCCTAAAGTTCACCAACGCGGAGTGCGAGGGCACCATTTGTCCGTTGTGGCTACAACCACTTCACCTTAAACATAGGACGAAGGTTTGATTCACGCCAGACATGACATGCGACGGCGGCAAATTGGCAGATCTCGTGGTCCTGCGCTACTCATACAGCAACACTGCTCACTCCAAGGTTCATGTAGTCGTGGGGAGTCGAGTAGCATCTGACACTAACGATGACAACGAGCACTCCAACTTGCCAATGGAAGGATACCTAGTTTATGCTTCCTTGAGGCTCTAGCGGGCCTAACATGAGTTATTGACACCGTGCATCTAGGCGAAAGATACCTTATCCCGATGATATCCTACTTTGACGGTGGCTGTTCATTACTACGGCAGACTGCAAGAGGCACTCAGCCAAAACACTTTTTCTCAGTAGACTTACGGTAGCCGTACAATTAAGTACGCTAAAGTGCCATACGTGCCCTACGTATAAATGAATATGATTACTAATCCCGTACAATATAGCAAAAATCACTTGCGACCAGAGGCGCCGCAGATTACGTAAGGGCGGTTAACTAGGCGGTATAAGTGGGACCACCGGGGTCTATACCTCTTTACTAATTTCTATTACTAACTACTTAGTTTTCTCTTTTTCCTACTTAACTTAATATTCCTTAAAAGAGGTAAGTAACCCGCCTACGCCCCTCTATTTACTTATATACGATTATGTTTTGTTATATTATAACTAACATAACGTGAATGATAAGCGAGTGAGACAGACAAGTGAGTGAGACACAAAACTGCGCCGATGAGATAAACTGGCTTCCATATCAACATCAACAGCATCAATTCAATTCAAACTACTCATAATCCTCATCTTCAGACATCTCTTCAATAAACTGGCACGTTCGTGAATTGTGTCCCGGGTGACCACAAACGCCACACCGTCGCTGACCTGTCTCGGCCCTCAGTTTGCGACCACTAGTACGACGCATTCCTCCTGAACCTGCGCAGTCACATCTTTCTGTGACTGTATATCTGCTGCGTCAGCTACAGTAAGACTTCCTCCATGTTGTAGGCGTGTTTTCTTAGTTCTCCGTCGTCGACTGAGTTGGTTATTCTCGTCTCTAAGAATCTGTACCTCAGATCTAAGTAAGGCTACTTGGTGCATGATGCCTCTTGTACCTTTAGAAAGTCGTTCAACAGCCTCGCAAATAGAGGTTGGGGAGCTGCTTTGGTGACGAGTGATCCGACTCTTAATAAAGTTGGATTGAGAGCTTGCCTCTACTGGGTTGTTTGGTGTCCTTGAAACCCAAGGCGGAGGTGTCTGTGGTAGTGATGCTGGAGGCGTTGGAGTGTGTAGCCGGATATCCAGCTTTGATAGGACGCTTTCTGCACTCAGAGGAACAAGCCCAGCTCCTCTAAAACCCCCTTGGATGTTTTTTTCAGTCATCGCTTGACTAAATGCGCTGCGATATGCAGGAAAGAAGTCCTCCTTTGAGATGTGGGTTACGCCCCGCCGCATCTTATCCTCAATTTGTTGCCCATACGCCGTCTTTAGCGGACCAAAGCACCCAACGTCAAGGGGCTGGAGTAGATGAGACGAATGAGGCGGCATACAAAGTGTAACGATCTTGTTTGCCTTGCAATATAGCTCAAAGTCTGTTGAGTGGTGACTTTCGTGCCCGTCGACGACGAGGAGGCGATATTGGCCTCTCAAACGTGGTTTCGTATGACGATCATAGTGCTGGATCCAATCTAGGCCTCTTTCATTTGTTGTCCATCCGTTTTCTGACGTCGCAATGACCCAGTCGTCCGGGAAACCTGACTCTGTATACCAGGTTGAGAGGTGATATTGGCCTGCAACGATGATGTACGGCGGGACGTTATAGCCTTGCGAGTTGATGGCTTGAATCACTGTAACCCATTCTCGATTACCAGGCTGCGCCATTTTTGTGTTTGAACGCCTTTCAGTACTTGTGACAACCATGCCAGATGCAATCTGGCCCATCATAAAGCCAGTCTCATCAAAGTTGTAGATATCAAACTCATCGATACCATACTTCGCGATTGTGTTCTTCACAAGAGCGAACCAGCCGCGAATAGCCTCTGCATCCTCGCATTGGGCCCTCTTGTAGTCGTACCTCCGAAAAAACCGCGTCCGCAATTGTGGTTGTCGTTTGACGAAGTTTAAGGCCCAGCGCTTCCCAACCGGAGGCGCGTCGCGATCAGTAAGCAGTCGATTAGCCATTTCTTCCACACCACGGATCCGGGGAGGGAATGATCGGGCATCTAGATCGAGAATGTGATCAACTAACGTCTGCTCTTCTAGCAAAGTAAGATTCCTCGAGTTCGGTATCCTGTCGCTTCGAGATGTAGAGCCCTTCAATCGTCGACTTAATGTTGCATGGCTGACCGAGTAGATCGTAGCTGCAGCCCGTGCACTAAGCTCTGGATTGATTCTGATAGCTTGAAGGGCCAGCTGTATGCCTGACTCATTACTTCTGGACGCCATGATGTGTTGTGGAAGAAACGTCTCCATTTGTGTTGAAGCATCATCGGCGCAGTTTTGTGTCTCACTCGCTTGTCTGTCTCACTCGCTTATCATTCACGTTAACTTATAATAATTTATAATTTTATATAACGTACATGATAAGCGAGTGGGCCAGACAAGCGAATGGGCCACCCAACCACGACCACATGACATGAAGGAGCAAATATCAACACCCACCTCATGGATTCAATCCAAACTATTCAGAGTCCTCTTCCTCAGACATTTCCTCATTGAATCGACATGTTCGCGCATTGTGACCAGTATTCCCGCAGACGCCACATCGTCGTTGGCCCGTCTCAGTCCTCGGTCAGCGACCACTACTCCGGCGCATTTCCTCCTCCACCTGAGCTATAGCCTCTCTCTACGACTAAAGGTCCTCTCCCTCAGCTATAGTAAGGCTTCCTCCTTATCGGAGACGGTTTTTCTTAGCTCTCCGGCGTCGACTAAGTAGGTTGTTCTCCTCTCGAAGGATCTGGTTCTCGGATCTTAATAAGGCGATCTGGTGCATGAATCCACGAGCCCCCTTAGATAGATGCTCTACAGCTTCGATAATTGAAGTTGGTAAGCTATTTTAATAACGGGAGATTCGATTCTTAATAAGTTCTGACTAAGAAGATGCTTCCGTTGGGTTGTTTGGTATCTGAGAAGTCCATGCCGGTGGTGTTGTCGGGAGGGATCCTGGAGGCGTCGGAGTACGTAACTTCACATCAAGCTTTAAGAGCACACTCTCTACACTCAAAGGCACAATTCCTACCCTTCTAAATTCTCCCTGGATGTTTTTCTCCGTAATCGCTTGCGTGAAAGCCCTATAAAACGCCGGGAAGAAGTCCTCCTTGGTAATATGCATATTACCCCGACGCATCTTGTCCTCAATTTCTCGACCGTACACCGTTTTTAGAGGCCCAAAACATCCAAAATCCAAGGGCTGGAGTAGATAAGACGAATAAGCCGGCATACACAGGGTAACGATGTTATTCTTCTTACAAAAAATCTCGAAATCCGCGGAGTAATGACTTTCGTATCCGTCGACGACGAGGAGGCGGTACTGACCCTTTGTACACGGTCTTGTATGCCGTTCGAAGTGCCGAGCCCAGTCTAGACCTCTTTCATTTGTTGTCTATCCATTTTCAGACGTTACGATGACCTAGTCGTGTAGGAGACCGGATTCCGTGTACCAGGTGGAGAGGTGATATTGGCCCGCAACGATGATGTACGGCGGAACGCTGTAGCCCGACGGGCTGATAGCCTAAATGACCGTAACCCATTCACGATTGCCAGGCTGCATCATTTTTGTGTTTGAACGCCTTTCGGCACTGGTCACGACCATGCCGGTTGAGATCTGGCCCATCATAAAGCCAGTCTCGTCAAAGTTATAGATGTCTAAGTCTACGATGCCGTACTTCGCGATTATGTTCGCCACAAGCAAGAACTACGCGTTAATCGCGCCCGGATCTTTGCATTAGGCCCTCTTGTAGTCGTACTTGCGAAAACGATATGTTCGCAACTCTGGTTGTCGCTTTACGAAGTTCGAAGCCCATCGCTTCCCAACATAGGGCGCGTCACGATCAGCAAGCAATCAATTCGCCATTTCTTCAACACCGCAAAGACGGGGAGGAAAACATCTAGCGTCTAGGTCGAGGATGTACTCAATCAGCTTCTTCTCTTCTAACAGCGTCAAATTCCGTAAGTTAGGTATACTATCACGTCGTAATAACGTTCCCTCTAATCTACGGCCTAAAGTAACGCGACTGATATTATAGATCTTTACCGCGGCCCGAATACTGAGATTTCGGTCTTTCTGGGTAGCCTGAACCGCTAAGTTTAATTGAGTATCTTTGTTATGTACTGTCATTGTTTTCGATGGAGAAATGCGTGTTGTGATGATGTAGGTGGCACGATGGCGGTTGGGTGGCCCACTCGCTTGTCTGGCCCACTCGCTTATCATGTACGTTACCGCCATATAAGGTCTTATAAATTTAATCGATAAAATATCTCAAGCCGTAATTCTACGTAAAACATATTTGTAGTTTATCTTACTAGTGTAAAGTTTAATAATCGGTGGTGGGGTGACTGTAAAATTCGATTTCTGCTTTGACGCATGAAAAAAGTGTTTTGGCGGAGTGCCTCTTGCAGTCTGCCGTAATTACCCCCCTGTATTTCTCTGCACGCCTTGACTCGCATATTTCATTCTCTGTCAACTGAAGTTGACTTACCCAAGGTAGTACACCAGCCTGTATAGTACAGAGCAAAGTGCAAAGTGCAAATCTCTGTAAGTTGCACACTTGACTCATCTGAGAGACTGAGCCATTGTCGCCGTGAACATCATCTATCGAGAGGCCAGAACACTGTAGGGAACTAGAGCATATCTCAGCGCGCCGAGGCATCGTACGAACTCATAGGTAAGCTATTCGCCACTGAAATTAGACCCAAACAGCTCTCTCAAATCAATCTCTTTACCGGATTGTCTACCATTAGCCTTCGGCAATTCCACTTCGAGTGCGGCTGGCGGCACAGAGCAGTGTACAACTTACACTCTCCTAGCTAGTGACATCACCCTAGGACCTCATCAAATCATACAACATGATTTCAGTATGCCTTAGGATAGAAAAAAATGTAAGACCATGGCAATTACTCTAGGAAAAGAGTCTGATCGAATGCACTCAGAAGTACATCATATATGAAAGATGTGATGGCGGCTCGGCTCCCACATACCGTACCTTTCGGATCCGGGCCCCTATATCTTCCTCCGCTATGATCTATGGATACACCGAAGCCCAAATCGACCCAAATTGAGTATTAATACTTCCAATCACAAATAGAGAATACTCGCATTCGTAAATCGTCCTGATCTACAGACTGTGGTCCGCGGCCCCCTTTCACCCACATTCCGAATATTTAGTGGAGAAAAGTTGGAACAGTCGTCAGCCTCTGCGAACGCTGTGGCACCGTAAATACCTATTTTAGATTGTCGATATGCTACAAGCTTGTCTAGACTTGTAATAACAGGATTTTGATTCGTCATTACACTGCCCGCTCGATGTCCGTGTACCCATTCGAGGTCGAAATGCCGACAACTTGTTCATCCTCGGTGACGCGTTCAGGGGAACCAGGTCTTCAACTGAGGCTGCCGACATGGCATTTGCATCAACAGTGACCACTTTTTCCAGAAGATGGCAATGGTTGAGACATGTATAAGATGGATGGAGTTTGGATGTTTCTCAATCTCTTGTTCATCCAAACTATCTCTCGGCAGCAAGCTTCTCTCCACACATCATGAAACTTTCAACCGTTGCAATTGGCGCGTTCGCCTCCTTGGCACTTGCCCACAAGGAGGTAGGCCCCGGAGTTTTCAAACGCCACGCCGATCTCTCTAAGCGCTGTGCCTCCGGGGCTGCGAAGTTCAAGCAGAAGAGATTCGAGAAGCGCCAGGAGGAAGCTAGCCTGAACAAGCGATCCGGCAACAGCTCTTACACTATCGTCACTGAGGGCCCTTACTACGACACCCTCCAGAACGACACCTGCGTCCTCGCTCCCGATGTCACCGCTGGTCCGTACTACTGGCCCCGGTCCGAGACCCTGAGGCAGGACATGACCGAGGACCAAGTCGGTGTTCCTCTCATCCTCGACGTCGGTGTCCTTGACATGGCTACCTGCGAGCCCCTTCCCAACGCACTTGTTGCGTTCTGGCACTGCAACTCCACGGGCAGCTACTCCAGCTTCACGGGCCGTGACCCCAACACGGACTTCCGGGAGTTGCTCGAGTCTCTCAATGTTACCGACTTTGAGATTGGCACTACGGATCTTCACACGGATGACACCACATGGCTCCGCGGCATGTGGCCTTCAAACGATGAGGGTATCCTTGAAATGAAGACTATTTTCCCTGGCTTCTACATCCAAAGATCCATCCACATCCACGCTCAAGGTAGGCTTCTACGTCAATAACTAAAATACTTCAAAGCTAACAGATTCAACTAGTCTTCACCGACTGGGTCCTGCACAGCAACGGCACGGTCAAGACTGGCAACACCAACTCCATTGGCCAGCTGTACTTCAACGAGTCCATTTCCCAGGAGATCATGGCCTTGGAGCCCTACGTCAGCCACACTGAGATCAACCGCACGACCAACGACGTGGACTCTGTCTACTCTTCAGGCCTCGCGAATGGCTACAACCCCGTCATTGACATTGTACCTCTCGATGGCAGCGATATTAGCAAGGGCATGGTCGGCTACATCACCATTGGTATCGACACGGAAAACAGCCCTTCTTTGAGTGGCCCTGAGAGCGAGCAAGGCGGCGGAGGCGGTTCTCCGAGCGGAAGTGCCATGCCTAGTGGAACTGCGCCAGCATAAGGGGGAGAATACGGGTACCGAACGCTGCATACATACGGAGTTATTGGGGTTTTCAGAACAAAATAGACAGGGATGGCAGCACACTGGGTGGAAGGTAGACAAATAAAGACTGCATTTTATTGAAGAATCAACGAAAATTCCATTGCATTTTATGCTCAAGGATGCTTTTGATTAATGGTGTTACATTTCGATTGTCGAAGACTACAAGTCTGATTGTGGCAGGTGGGCACCTTCAAGAGGTTGATGAGTGTCTGCTTTGAATTCCTCGTCGGTATTCTCGCCAATTCGCCTGCCTGAACACACACCCATCAATCCAGCCACACGAATACACACCGCGAGAAAGCCCATATAGGTCCCCTCAACTCCATTCCTGTCACCAGCCAGCAGGCGCCCGTCTTATTCGACGGATCGGGTCAAACTGGCTGGTGGTGTAGTGGTCTAAGGTCAACAATCAAATTATACGCCAACCAGCCTACTCGACGACAGGCTTAGCTAGAGTGCCCGAGTTCGAATCCCAGCATGAGCACCAAGAGATGTAGCCTCCAGTTCAGCACCCGGGTGGTGGGGGGGGTGAACTCTTTTGCCATTTGGTCTTTCGAACTTTTTCGTATCGGAAATCGTCCAAGATCATGTTCGATTGATTAAATGAGCATAAATCGCAACATTTCGGTTGATGCCACCCAGTTGGCACGGTGCATGAGATGGTAATCTCCAATGCGCCTGAACTTGTATAGTAATTCATCACCCTCCAAATCGTCTGTAGATAGAGTCGTATTGGTGTTCGGCGGCTGCGGCACAGGCTCGAGGAACAGTCCCTCAAAACTCAAAACCCGGTCTGTATGATTGACCAGCGGCAAGCAGATGACAATATCTCCTTTCGGCTTCTCTTCAGGTGAGTCCCAAGCGTACATTTTCGTCCACTCCGTCTCTGAATCTGAAGGCATCGGTCGGAGCATAGAACCTAGCGTTTGCCAATCCTCTGCACTGTTGGATGCCGGGAGCTGAAACGACTCCTCCCCTCTGCCTCTCAGTTGCGAGATCATGTGGCTTACGTTGCCCTCGCTATTAGTATCTTTTCTATGGAATGCCATCTTGAGGACACCCTCTAGAATCAACCCGTCGTTTTCTGCTTTTCCGATCCTATTCGTGCCGCCAAAGCCAGAATTAGTGAGACCAACAGCCTTCACCAGCCCCGTCCCATGCGGATACCAGTTTCCGAATGTTACCGAGGTATTCAGTGTCATCCATGACCATGAGGGCGCTAGATAATCGGTCGGCCGCGCCTGAACCTTTTTTTCAGGACCCCAAAGCAGAGACCAGGGCAAACTCTCATCTATCCAAACACCATATGCTTGCTTGGTATCACGCTCTTCCTTCAACTGGCCGGGAAGACCTGAAAACGCCACCTGCCTGTCGCTGGGGAACGTGAGCTGTGTCTTCGAGTATTCTTTCACCGTTTCTGACCATAGCCGCTCGAAGGGCTTGGTACCGGCGCTCTCGAGCAGCATATTCCGGAAACTTCTCCGGTCGCCTATGAACTGCCACCAAATAGAAGCAGACTGCGACGGCACGCCTCCAGGAAACGATTCACAGAGCTCGTGCTGGCCACAGCCCCATAGGATCTGCTGCTGGCCGAAGTAGAGCGTCCTGGGAGAGAGCAGCCGCTCCTGAAAGACCCAAGCCCGTTTATGCAGGGGCGCTTGTGAAATGTCCGTTTTCCATCTATCTTGCAGTTCTTCCCCGTGGAGGAGAAACGGTGGCGCCTTGGGATCCGTCGAGAATGGTGACGGATATCACAAGGCAAGACAGTCCAAGGGTCTCTGTCCGAGAAGCAGCCGCCGGATCCGTCCGTCGCATGGCTTGCAGATATAGTGCAAAGTGACAGGCTGTACACCTTGCCCATAGTAGGAGCCTCTCGTCGCCAGTCCTCTTCGCTTTGCTGGACAATACAGATGGAATCTATCCACAGATATCGGACGCCGAGTTTCTTCGCGATGATGAAGGCGTCGGAAAAGGTTCGTGAGAGCTCCGAGTGAGGTATCTCTCTCATAAATTGCGTGATGTTGCTTTCTAGGAGAATGTACGGCTGCTTGAACCCCCAGCAGTGACTCAGCGTCATCCACCGGACTGGGCGCGGTAGAGATGCCGACGTGACAAGCTTGGTCACGTCGGAGGGTGGCTGTCCTAGATCAATCAGACGTGTAGGGGCCCATCCGCTGTTGTTTCGCATTGAGCAATCGTGCGATGCTAAGCAATCCGTGAGAAACTTTTGAGCGAGACTAAAAGCTTGGTCCGAGCCAGTATTGGTGTTGCACGCCAGCAATGACTTTTCTTTTGGGATCGAAGCTACAAATTCCTCTGTTCATTTTCATGAGTTTTCCTTTTCTTAGCGGGATAATTGCTGAGGAGTATCACAAACCCGTTGTTTCTTCAATGTTAGAGAAAAAGCTGTACATCTTATTATGGTTCCCCTCGGCCCATCTCCAAATTCCCATGTGAACCTCATAGCCAGAAGTTCCGCTGGCAAAACCGTATCGAAGCTCGAGATCATCGTCCGGTTTCAATTCATACCAGTCTGGCCATGGAATCTCGCTCTTCTCCCCAAATTTCAAACGTCGAAACCATATGAGACTACAGAGGCGACAACCATCGCGCTTTCCTTCTTCTAGGCTCCCTTTTGTGTGCAGAAGCCGGTAGCCACCTTCTTGCTTGGGAGACCACAGACCGTATGAAGAGACTTCTCTGGCTTCAGAGAAGATACTCAAACAATGCTCACATAGATGAGACCGCCGGTTGCCGTGAGATTGAGACCCCATCGCGTTGGGGGTTGTCAAGTAATGTTGGGCTCCTAAGAGTGATTACATGCAATTGAATGCACCTCACTTCATGCAGTTAGGTAATTAAAGAGGATCCTGCTGCTCAAGTGACGATTATCAGTCACGTGATGTAAGCAGAGCCGGACCAATCCAGATTGCTGTAGTTCATTGGTTGTGATAACCTCTTTCTTTGTTGTATTGTCTAACGGCCCAAAGTAAGTTTAGAATTTCAGTGGTCATAAAATCTACTTTAAGAACAATATCTAGAAAGCCATGAGTTCAGAAGTTTGACCAGTACACGATCTAAGCTTAACGAGACTGCGACGAATCCAATGTCACAAGTTATGGCACACAGCGATGGGCATATATTAAAGTGGTTTGAAAGTAGCTGAGACTACCTTAACCTATCTAGAACGGAGGAAAGAGAATATAGTCGGCTGAAACAATCCACCGTGCTCACTAACTCGTCAAGTTAGTTGTGTAGCTCCCAACGACTTTCCCAAGTTTGATAAAGGGCAGATAATCTTCTCACAAAAGCTCTGTAAAATTACAAGCTCCATCATCATCAAAACGTCCTACGACCATTTGGAAACGCCTGATTAGCCAAAGCATCCGCCTCCGTATTCTCCTCCCTCGGCACAGCCCAAAACATGATATCCCTCTCCCCATCATCCCCATACGTCATCTCATCCAACTGCTCATGCAACTCCCTCAACATCTCAAAATGCGCAACCCTCTTCCCCCTCGCATTCAGCCCCTCATTTTCGATCCACTCCCCAATCCAGAGCGACATGGCATTCGCAAGATACTCCGAGTCCGTCACAATCTTGATCCGGCTCAATGAGTAATCCCTTGCCGTAATTTCACAAATGATCCTCAAAGCCTGCACAAGCGCCTCAATCTCGGCCCTTGAATTCGTCTGCGGGAGGTCTGGAGAAAGCAACCCGCAGGCGTTATACCGCGACCCGGGACCAAAGTACACACCCCACGATGCTTGCGCCGAGGGGGTGCCGTTATTGCGGCAGGCGCCGTCAATGTAGACGACCATGCTGCCGCGTTCGGGTACGGCGCCTTTGGTGGCGTAAGAGTACATTCGCATGCCGAGGAGCTGGGTTTGGGGGTTGTAGACGACGAGGTCTGATTTCGAGACCATTCTGTGGGTCTCGCTTGCGCGGTGTTCGAAGAGGCGGCTTCCCATGCCGTCGTCGTCATCGTAGCCCATCATCTTTGCGGATATGTTTGGTGGTTTTCACGATGAGAGTCTGGGAGATAGAGAGACAAGTAGTTTCCTACTACACAAGAGGATACATGGACCCTCGTTGGAGCGATATTGTAGCTGAGCAGACGATGGGAAATCTTTCCTAGTAGCCTGGTCAACAATCCTTTTTCTGTATAACAGACATTGGTGATGCGGGCTAACCTTTCACAGTAGTGTGAGATCTGCTAGTAGGCAGCGTATCTTACAAACTTGTAAGTCGTGCGTGCTGAGGGCCTGTCGGTGAAATGAAGTGTGATTGTGAGCTCAGCAAAGGTTGACAGAAGCATGGGCAGAAAGAGGGGGAGGGGCAAAAGCCTAGCCAACGAATTTGCGTCGAGGCGGATAAAAGTGGCTCCTTGCATATGAACTTCAGATGCTTTCCAGGTCTGATATTGTATGTTCATCATCCACTCCATCTTCTTTTACTTTGATATCACACGTTGGAGTTCAATCCTGGTCCGCGATTAGACGAAAATTGATAATGGTAGTGTCAAATAGGTGTGTGACGCAGGGCGGAAGCTCTTAGAGGTCAACTGCTGTTAAGGTCAAAAGGATGAATGACTGGGATCTACCCCCTAGCTAGACGTATGCTCCCTATGTAATATATATAGGAGCCTCTCCCTTGTTGCTTAGGCCCCCCTTCCTAGCCCCTACTAACCCATATCCGGAAGGGCCTCGACAGGTAGGTACCTTATGACTCTCCAAGGCAAAATGGGGACTAACGAAACCTCACGTAAGTAGCTTGTCAGCTTTCGAGTATTGTCAGCGTACTTCAATTTTTGAGGTTTAATAGGCATGAGCCAGTACATGTCCTTATGCCTGTGATCTAAGGCCTCTCACGAAGCTCATTTAAGCACCCGATTTATAAACCCATCAACTTCGAACATCTACCGCACTACTATTCAACCATGGATTAACCACGTGACACTAGACAAACATCGTCACAATAGCCAGCAAAATGACAAGAAGTCCAGGCAACAACATCGGCATCATCAACTCCTCAATCGCAAGCTCCGTACTAGGCGAGATGAGACTCAATGGGAAACTAGGCGGGAACGCCCGCCGCCTTCTTTCCACAGTCTCCATCAGATGCCTCGGTATATTCGTAATATCAATCGTCAAGCGGTGCGTGCTCTTGCTCCCGTCGTGGTGCACATACAACGTCGCTAGATCAGGATCATACGACCACTCTCCGTCGCTGACCTTGATGTCGATGTTGCGATCTGCGTAGTGGTACTTTGGCACAAATATCTCCGTCGTCCGCGACTTTTCTGGCTGGCTCTTACCGTTCTTGGCGTCGCTTTCGGCTTCTGAAGTCCACGCAAATTCGTAGTGGAGGGTCCGCGGGTTCCAGTCCGAACGAACAGGGCGACCTGCAATTTTGACGGCGTAGGGGCGGATAACCACGTCAAGGACCCTCCCACCGCGGTATAGCTCGTCATCCTCATGCGCTTCGTTCGCATAGTCTGGCAGAATGTGGCCCGGCTTGGCTTCAGTATCGCCATTAACGACAGAGAAATCTTCCTTGTTCCACCCATCACCGTACCCGACCCGGTTGTCAGGGTTATAATTCCACAACGTAAATGCGAGATTGTTATCCTCCATGGCGGAAACGAGGGCGTGCATCAGCTCTCGTAGCTTATCGTACTGACCCGTCTTGAACGCTTCGCCGCCGTTGATGTCGTAGGGTATTCCGACCTCACCGATGAGGGCGGGCACGTGGGTACCCAACGACTTTTGCCCGTACTTGAGAATGTTGGCGAGCTGCGTGCGGTAGTTTTGGCGGAGTGCTTTGGCGCCGAAGTAGAGTGCCTTCAAGATGAACATGCCTCTCGATAAGCCCTGGACGTTGACGCTCATCCAAGAGTGATGCTTGCTGAATAGTACGTTGAGGTCGTAGAAGTGAGGCGCAAAGACGAGGTTCTCTGGTCTCGGGGTGTCGATGATCGTCTTAGTCGCATATGTCTGCTTCTGTCCGGCTTCGTCCACCTTTCCATCCTGACCGATCCAAGGGGGCACGAACTCGTTCGGTATCGGCTCGAAGAAGCAGAATTGGCGGGAAGACTTCCGTGAGACGCGGTCAGAAAAGCGCTTGAGAAAGGAACCGTAAAAGTCACGGTACCATTCCAGCGGCTTGCCTTCACGGCCTGGCCGATGATCCACCTCAAAGTAGTCTTGCTGCAGAACCTTGGGCCCCTTTTTAGCTTCATTCCAGTCCCAGACGCCGTGAGCGCGCCATACACATTCCCCGAGACCATAATTTTGTGGCGTCGATGCATTTGCCTTGGCAGCCAACCAGGCAGATCTTCCCTTCGGGTCAACGATAGTTTTGTGTGAGATCCGAGTAGGGAACGGCCAGGACTTGACGTAGTAGTTGACTTCCTGAGCGTAGCCACTTGCAAGGGCGAGCGCCTGTGTTAAAGAGGGGTAATATCCGATATGCAAGTCGGTATCGTAGTTCCATCCGTCGAACCCGTGAAGATTGACGAGACCTCGATGCGGCTCATTCAACGGCTCAAATCCAACGCATGCCTCGAGTCCAGCAACTTCATCCGCGAGTCGGCCAAAGGCTTCGATGAAGGCACTCTGAAGGAACTCCTGAGCCGATACAGTCTCGACTTTGCCGTTCGTTGCTCGCTGACATTGCAGCTTTGGCGCCAGAGCGTCGCCAGCCCAAAACAACGTCGCCATCGTCGATGCTGCAATTTTCTGGTACCCAGATGGCCACACAAACGGACCGCTCGGCTCCTTCTCATTCACAGGAGCAGTAGTTCTCCTCAGCTCATCCTGACCATGTACATACGCGGCTCCAGTCTCAGTGAACGCCTCGACATCGAGCCCAGCAACCTCAAACGTCCAGCCGGGTGCACCGCTGCCGCCACTGAACCGGCTCCACACGTCCTGATGAGCGCAGATGAAGCACTTGATGCCATATTTTGGCATGATCTCGATGAGCTGGCGCAGGTACTCGATATACTCAAGATCAACATCCGTCTCCGGGTCCGGCCCAGAGTGTCCTATCGACTCCCACGTAACAAGCAGACGGACAAGGGGCAGGCCCCAAGCCTGCAGCCGTCTGAAGTGCAGCGGCGCATCTTCAAGTAGGAACGGCCTGCCGATGAAGGTCACCGTCCGGTGCTCGAAGAAGCCATCGGTGAGATGAGACAGGCCGTTGGGCGTCGTAGGCAGCTTGCTTGCTCCGGAGATGTTGAGGCCGTGCAGGGTGAGCGTGCGTCCGTAATTATCGACAAAGTAGCCATCTTTCAGGCCAATTGGACCTCCCAGTGCGGCGTCGGAAAGGTCTTGCGCGGCATGTTTGGCCGCCATGGTGAAGGGGCGGTGAAATGGCCGTTGGAAGTCAAGGTGTAAGGTGAGCTTTTTAGTTTGACTGGCCGGGGATGTGCTCCGGACGTTACGCGTACTGACAGCTTCTCTTCAGGCCAGACTAGCTTGCTTAGTCAGCGACAGCTCCTCAAATGTCAAGTCACTTGAAGTCACCAAGATAACATACTGACAATTCAACAATGAGACAGAGAGAGATCTTTCCTAACTTCAAGGACTGATTTGAAATCAGTTGAATTCAAAAATGTATATTGTGGATTGAGAAAGCTGAACCATTCTCAAGCTGTTCTGAGAGAAGAGCCTCTTGACGAATACCATTACCGGGAATGTCGGGCCCCGGAGGTGGATGCTGTGCCAAGACTTGTGCCTTCCGCGTCAACTGCTCAAGGTTCTTGAGCCATTTAACAACCTGCCCTAACTTGACTGAGTCTTGGCACTAGAGTATTGACCCGTGCCAGTGTCTTCAAAACCGATTCACGTATTTACCCCAATTTTCACAAATTTGCACGGGACTAGTTGTGTTCTTATTTCTTTTCATTATTCATAGAGTCGTCCATCTATGGCCGTCTACGGCTTTTTCTATGTAGCCCGCATGGTATCATAAACTGGGAACGCGGTTTTGTTTTTCTTCCTTTATGTCACAACACACAAACTTAAAGCTTGCGAACGACCTTGTTGGAGGCCTCTTTCTCCTCCTTCTCGTCCCAGATGTTGATGTTCCAGCGGGGCTTGTAAGTGAAGGGGATGTTGTAGCGGCGGGGCTCCTTGCCAATCTCGTTGATAGCAGCAACATCCTCGTCCGAGATCTTGACCTCTTGGAAGTTGGACTGGATGCGGCTCGGGGTGACGGACTTGGGGATGACGGAGTGGCCGCCAGTCTGAGACCAGGCGAGGACGACCTGGGCGGGGGTCGCGTTGAGCTTGGTGGCGATCTTCTTGACGACGTCGTTCTCGATCAGGAGGGGGAGACCGAAGCCGTTGTTGCCGAAGGCCTGTATACATGTTAGTCATTGTCACATAGAATAGGTGTGGATACCAAGGGTGAACATACAGAGTAGGCGGTAATGTGAATGTTCTTCTCCTTGGCGTACTTGATCAGGGTGTCGTTCTGCTGGAGGAGGGGGTGGCGCTCGATCTGGTTGACGGCGGGGGTGACACCGGTGGCGTCGATGACGGTCTGGAGGTCCTCGACGGTGAAGTTGGAGACACCAATGTTCTTGGCCTTGGACTTGGGGAGGTCGATCAGGGCCTTCCAGGTGTCGACGAGAGAGACGCTCTGGTCGAGGTCGACCTCACCCTCGGCGGCGAGGGGGAAGAGCTTGTCACCATCCTTCTTGAAGGCAACGGGCCAGTGGATGAGGTAGAGCTGTAAGTGAGGGGTTAGCCGGGTAATGCTCGGCCGTTCCACGCCCAACCTAGCACGAATGGAGGGGCGTGCATGGCAGGGGAGATGGTTTCACGTACATCAAGGTAGTCGAGCTCGAGCTCCTTGAGGGTCTCGTCAAGGGCAGCCTCGACGTTCTCGGGCTTGTGGTTGTTGTTCCACAGCTTGGAAGTGATCCAAATGTCCTCACGCTTGAGGCCGGGGATCTCGGCGAGGGCCTTCTTGATGCCCTGGGCGACCTCGGGCTGGTTCTGGTAGATCTTGGCGAGATCGAGGTGGCGGTAGCCGGCCTTGAGGGCCTCGTAGACACCGACGGACACTTCGCCGGGGGCGGACTGCCAGGTGCCGTATCCCAGAGTGCTAGAAGTTCCCAAGAGTCAGTTTGGGATGTTTCTCCTCATAGAGAGCCAGGAAAAAGAGGCAGAGCGCGATTGCAATAGCGGGGTATCGCGATCGGCAGGGGGGGGGTAATTCAGACGTACGGAATCTCAGCACCGGTGTTGAGCTTGGCCTTGGATCCGAAAGACATTTTTGCTGAATTTGTATGAGGACTGGTTTAGAAGAGAGAAGAGGAAGATTGAAAGAATATCGTGAGAATCACCGGCGGGAGGAAGGCTAGAGGGGAGAGCTTTTAAGGTGGCCTCTTTCTAAACAAGTGAGGGGTTCCAACACCCAATTGCATCATCGTTTGTCAGGATGAGCTGCGCACCCTGATGGGATGGGGTACCTCGTACTTTCTCTCCGTGACGCCCACCGTCGGACCCGCTAAACGGCCTGTGACTGCGAATTGCATCGAGTAATTCAACATGGAGGAGGAGACGCGGGTTGTCCTAGGACACGGTCGTGACGCTGCCACCGTCGCCAACTGTTAGGATTGCCTGTGTGGGTTGGCCGTGGCGGGGTCGAGTGTGGACCGTGGGCGATGGTGAGACTTGGGGACCCTACGCTTCCACCTCAGTCTCCCATCTTCTTCTGTCTCTCGGGTGCGGAAGCCGAAGTCGGTCTCACGGAGGGCACTCGTTACGGCCTACGGATAGGCTCGCTTGGAACTGAGACGTGAGTCCGTTTGGGTCCGTCTGGGTCCGTCTAGGCCCGGCACCGGGTGGGCAGTACACGCTGGCCCGTCCCGGCACATGTTCGAGTCATATCTATGAGTTTAAGGTAAGAACTTGAGGCCTTCAGGTTCACATGATACGTCCTTCATGAGACCCAACGCATCTTGAATACTGAGCCTTGCGTATTCAATCTTGCTCTGTAAGATGAGATCGAGTTTCTCATGATGAATTCTCATCACGTCTTACTCTCCTCCCTCATGTCGTCTTGATCATGTCAAGCGTCGACAAAATGTCGTGCAGTGACGGGACAGTTGACGTGGACGACAATCACTGTAGCTCATGGAAATGCCGCAATTGCCACTAGACTTTGTCCTCGGTGCATCTTTGTACCTAGCCCCGAAGAATTGGTCCACTCAAACGTTCCTCATGTTCCACACAACCTTATTCTGATGCGACCAAATGAGATTACACGCTTCGAGGTATGGTATGGGAAACTGAGAACGCGCGGTGCAACCCACCTCAATTGCAGAGTGAGGTCCGATCAAGTGAATTGCTCACTTGACTTGTCTGTACTACCTACTGTCGTCAAGTATTTATACTTATACTAAAAACCGCGCCCACCGATGACCATCCATGTGCTCAGGAGATGGGATCAATGAGGGGTCAGTTGGCGACGAGAATAGGTAGCAGCCGTGCCTTCATGGCGTGAGGCCCGTTAGGTAAGCTCTTCAACCAAGACGCCGTGAGTTTAACACCATGAATGAGTTGTTCAATCTCAATTAGGAGTGCGCTACGTGGCATGAACGCCTCACCTTGGACGTGAGGAGAGAGAGTAGCCAAGTTGAGATTGATAGAGGACGCTTCACATGATGTCAATGATTACAAGCCGCCAGATGGTGAGAGAAAGGTATGTGTTCATGTGAGTCGGCGATGAAGATTGCTCCCCCGGCAGTATGCACTTCCATGAGCTCTTCACCGGACCCCCACGTCAGACCAGCAACATCCATTTAAGCTATACTCCCACGTCGAAAAAAGAATCTCACATCCGAAGCCAAGTTCCCGACCGGGTAAGATGTACGTAGACGCCGGTTCCTGCATCCTTCCTTGTCACTCACCCAATCATGCTCTCAGTAAGACATATCACACTGCTCGCTTACGCTCAAGAAGCGCGTGCTGTAGCGCCGCCCGAATCCCGAGGGGAGGGGAGCTCTCAAGGGCCTGACAGGATGCGGCCCGCCTCGGTCCACTGTGGAGAACCATAAAATTAGAGTGTCTGGAGCGACCGTGGCTGCCGACTGGTGCGATCAGGTGTTCACTCTCACCCATGATTATGAACTTATGAATAACGAAGCTCATCATACATGCTGCAATATCAATTGCATCTGAGACTGCCAATAGGCTAGCGGCTCAATTGATAGACGACGGCCGCATCCAGATCAAACGATATGAGATGGACGCTGGCCACTACCCTTTCCAACCGCAAACAATGAATTCAGTCCAACAGCAAACAACCTCATGTCGCCAGTCGCAGCAACAGCACTCACTCTAGCAATCACCCCTTGGCCGTCCCATAAAACCATCCATCCTTCTATTTCAGTGAACAAACTCTCGACAGGGATGAGGCAAGGTTCGCCAGACACAAATGACCCCAAATTCAATGGGTCGCTCACAAAAGTCTTGGGGACTGGATACGCGGGAATGGGGCACGTGTGTTTTGACTTTCAGCTCCATGTCTCAACCGTCTCGAAACGTCGCTCCAAGTTCCAACGCCACAAAATTCAACCAAGAAAGCCCGCCGCCCGTTTGCTTGGCTTGGCCATGGCTTGCTCGGTAAAATGAAAGTTAAGTTGTTGACACCTAACCGCCTTTCCTCTTAGCCTTGCACCCTCGAGTCGCACCTCACCTCAACTCTTACGTTGAGATTTTGCTATGAGATTCTCATTCAGGGGCTTGCGACAGCGACAGCGACACCAATAGACGGCTCCTTCCTTACACTTCACACCTTCCCTGGTCGCGTCATTCTTGAATGCAGTTTCTGTTTCTTTTGCGTATTCGATAGACGGCACTATCATTCCGTCGCCATCGTCAAACGGTTTCCATGACTCGAACTTAGCCGTGTCACACAGTCTCCCTCCCTTGCCTAGCCTCACCCATCGAGAAGGCCTCATCACGATCCGGGACCATCACATCGTCTCTCATTCACGCATCTCCGTACTCGTACAGACACATAGAAACACACAACCCCATCATGGGAAGGACGTCATACCGCTGGACGCGGGTGCGCTCCCTAGTCCTCACCCTCATCACAATAACATGCGTCATCTACATCCTGGACACAACATGGCTACACCCGCGCACAGAAACAGCCATGCTAGAACGCTTCATGAACAAAGAAAGCTTCGCCCAGCAACCGCCGACACCGAAATCCAGCTTCGACTGGTCCGCCGTCGACCTAAAGTACCCGCCCCAAGACCCGCTCACCCGCGTCCCGGAGCCCGGGAACGGCGACCGCGGCTCCCTCCCCCGCGTGCAACACCGCTTCCCCTCCGAGTCCCTCTCCGCCTCCCGGCGCCGGGAAGCCCGCCGGCAAGAGGTCCGGC